ATCACCTAAGCCCAGGAATTGGAGGTTGCTGTGAGCTGTGACATCACAGCACTCTACTAAGGGCAATAAAGTGAGACTCTGTCTCTAACCAAAAAAAAAAAAATTATTTTTGTAGAGAGATGAGGTCTCAGTATGTTGCCTAGACCCCAGACCTCAAGTGATATTTCTGCTAGAGTGCTGAGATTACAGGCATGAGCCACTCCCAACTGACAAAATTAAAATTTTTATAACAAAATTAGATCCTGCTGTTTTCTAAAAACCATTTTAAGTTTTTTTTTTTTTGAGACAGAGCCTCAAGCTGTCGCCCTGGGTAGAATGCTGTGGCATCACAGCTCATAGCAACCTCCAACTCCTGGACTCAAGTGATTCTCCTGCTGCCTCTCAAGTAGCTGAGTCTACAGGCGCCTGCCACAATGCCCAGCTATTTTTTGGTTGCAGCCGTCATTGTTGTTTTGTGGGCCTGGGGCTGGATTCGAACCAGCCAGCTCAGGTGTATGTGGCTGGTGCCTTAGCCACTTGAGCCATAGGCGCCAAGCCAAAGGTCTTTTTTTAAAAATAAAATCACATAATTTAAATTGCATAATTAAAAATAATAACAAAACCAAAAATCATTTAAAAAGAATAAACAGTAATATGTGTAATAACATAAAACATCTGGCTTATCCAACTTTTGTTTCTGGAAGGAAACTTATTATCCTAAGTTTTACTTCATTCACATTTGACTATTTAAACACTTTATTATGACCTTTCTTTTGAATGAATGATTAGTTTAGCACCTGAATAAAGAATAACATTCTAAAATGTTTAAATGTGATTGGTTAGTAATGGGATTAATAGGTAAACAGAACTAAAATACGTCAATTATATATGATGGAACTTTGAATGTTTATAAATGGAAGAAATTCGCTGATAAATGTTAAAGGAACAATGAGAAATGAGCAGGCATTTTTACAAGGTGTCAAGATAACTGTCCAATTGTATTATTTGACTGATTGTATCAAAAGTGCCTTTTAATATGTTATCTCTATCATGTGCTCATTGTGTTACTGAACTGCATAGTAGTTTAATACTGTTCAAAAGAAAATAAATATCTTTCAAATAAATGATAGTATGCAGAGTTTTTTTTCATTTTTAAACATGAATATTAGGCATTCCTTTTTAAAAACTGATTTTCCTTTCAGAAAAGATTAAAGGAAAAGGTCATATCTAGTTGTCTCTTATACATGTCAGTTTTTTCTTTATAAGTTTTAATTGTGGGCTGGTTTTCCCTGCTGCTTAGTTCAACACTATCCCTAATGTCTTTCACTGTCCATAGAGGGGACTGCAAAGTAATTTCATAAAGCTAAGCCACGCATACTTAAGAAGTTAAAACTTCTAAGTGAAAAAAGCCATAGTGTACCACTTAATCAGACAATTTTCTTTATTTCAAATTAATATGAGGGTACATATGTTTAGGTTACATTGTTTTCAATTCTAAGGTAAAGTTTAAGTTGTAGCTGAGCCCTTCACTCAGGGGGCATGCTGAATACCCTCACATTGTGCACATTAGGTGAGAGCCCACCAATTGCCTTCTTTCCTGCCCCTACCCATCTCCTCTTTTCCTCTCCCCTCCATAGACAACTACATGTGTGGGCATGTAGTTATCACGTATTGGTTTCATATTGGAATTGAGATATTAGCATTAAGTATATCGGATAGATATTTTTTCCCTTTTCTTGAGATACTTTACTCAGAAGAATGTTTCAACTCTATCTAGGTAAACATAAAAGCTGTAAAGTCTCTATTTTTTCTTAGGGCTGAATAGTATTCCATGATATACATATGTTTGTTAATCCATTCATGGGTTGATAGGCATTTGGGTTGCTTCCATGCCTTGGCAATTGTGAATTGAGCTACAATAAACATTCTGGTGCAAATGTCCTTGTGGTAAAATGATTTTTGTTCTTCTGGGTAGATACCTAGTAATGGGATTGCAGGATCAAATGGAAGGTTGATTTTTTTTAATAGGCTTTATTTTTCAGAGCAGTTTGATGTTCACAGGAACATGGAGCACAAGGTACAAGATAGATAATTTAATTGTGAAACTATCTGCTATTAGTCTAGATCAAGATTTTATTTGTAAAACTAGATTTTTCTTTTTTCTTTT